ATATATATATATAAACACAAATAAAAATACCATGGATAACCAATGACTCATGTAGCATGATAATGATAATTATATAAAGTTGATACAACAAACACAACGTATAAATAATTGATCACTTACGTAATATTTTATGCAGATATTAAAGTCGATTGTTCTTATCGTATGAATTTTAATAATATCCGATAGATAACGATTTCGGAAAAAAATTATGCGACTGTTAATTTTCGTTCATAAATACTTAATTCTAACACATACATTTTTTTATGTATGTGTATATCACTGATTGTTTACTATTGTATCGCCTGTTGTGCAATTCTCCTTATTTCAAGCTCACCTTTGTACTTTTCATTGCTTTCTGCACAAATACATCAAGTTTCACGTTCTTTTAACGTGATTTATCTTGTGTTGATGGCGTGATCGTATATATCATTTTTGTAAGATATTATGCTGTAAAATTTACCAAATATTTTACCAACAGAGCGTATAATCTATTATTACGTGACTTAAAATAAGCTTATCGGCACATTTATCTCATCAACAGAACGAAGCGGAACATATGTTATAAATATAATAAATTTTTATCTTTTTTTCGCTATAAATTATTTACATTTCTATTATATACAAAAAACCTGACAAAATATAAATAATATTTCCAATAGAATAATGAAAAAGTCAATATTATACAAAAACATAAGTAACCTAGATTTTGTTAAATAATAAAATATCTTGTCAAGATTTTTGACATACATGCACTAACACACACACACCCACACACACACACACACACACAAATTATATGGTAAAAAAATTTGGCTTATAAATTATTGATTGTTATGCGTCATATTTTTTTGTGAAACGAAAAAGAAACAACGTTTGGTAATTTTTATTATATGGATATTATTATATGGATATACTTAAATACAATACAATATACAAAATTTTTCATACATTCACTTTCAGCAGTTTAATTTACAATTTCATGAAACTTGTTTCATATGATCTTTTTATTGCTATTTGCGTTACTATTCATGCATGCAGTAAACCCGTGCATGACTCAATCTTACGATTCCCAATCATACGATCCTGATTAAGCAATTCGAATACTGCTATAAGCGTGTCAACTATGACCAATACGGTTCCAGAACAAGATCATGTATACATTTATTCCTGTCAAAATTTCTAAAATTATCACATCATTCAGCCTAAATATATATATATGACATTTTTACAATGTAAATTTTAATATAAAAAATTATGATATGAATTTGGACAATCGAAATATATAAATCTAATTAAACAAGAGAAATTCTATATTCAGTCAAAGCGGATGTTAGCTTAAGCTTAAATATTTTTGTGTGAATTTATATACATATTTGATTCGGTAAACCGCACGTTGAAATCTTTTTCGGTCTTAAAACGCAATTATAAACAGGAATAGAGTAATGTCACTTACTAAATTAACGAATAATTTAATAATTTTTTGCTAATAAACATTTTTTAAAAATATTTAAATTATTTAAATGTTAATGAGCATCCTAAATAATTCATTATTTTTATGATAAAGCAAAATATTTTCAATCGAAATTTATATCCGATTAATTCTGATTGAGATTTATTTTTTGCAATAAATTATTTACAGATTCTCGTCGAAATTCATATCTTATTTGAATTTTTTGTTAAATATCTGTTAAACACTTTAATCTTAATGTTCTAATTGTAAGAAGGTGCTCCAAGAAAAAATTGACAGACTTGAGAGTTTTTCTTTATCATCATTTAAATGTATATTAATCCTCAATATTTCTATTCAAGTATCTTAGACATTTTATTTAATTTCTAGAAAAATTGAAATATCTAATATATGTAACTATACCTCCTTATTTCGTCCCCAATCTTCAGAAATATATGTCAATAGATCTGTCAAACCCTCGAACTTTGTTCTGCTTTGAGGTGGGTCATTCTTAGGTATTTTTGGTAATAGAGAACCCATCTTGAATCTAAATTCCTCTGTGTTAGTAGCACCAGAGAGTTTCCAAATTCCATAAAAAAATAAACCACATCCTGTGACAGCATATAATGTACCCCAGCCAAGGGCTCTTATAGCTAATGAGGCTCCAGTTTCAGGAATTCCTTTCATACCAGAAATTCCATCTCCAAAATGTTTTGGATCTTGCTTTCTGGTTGCCGCCACTGCCCTGGTAAATCCAGCGAGAGCAGAAATACTTGCAACAGTGCTTAAAAATACTGTAGCTACAGAAATAGCAATAAGATGTATTTATTGAAAGAAGTTGCATAAATATTAATAGAAAAAGAAATTTAATTATCGATTAAAAATAAAATTATCATTGGATGATAGAACTGTAGTGCGACAATTATCAAATAAAAAGATTAAATTATTAATATCATATCTTAAATAAATTGATTCAACAAAGAATATATATCGTATTATTTGAAACATCTATTTAAATGTTTGACCATTCATTGGCATTCTCTATCATATTTGTGTTTTTAAAATATTAATTTTTTGCACAGTCATGAAAAGCATCATTGATAACTAAAATATTTTATTTTTCATCTGAATTGATTTCTAAAAATTTTTTGTTTATATCTATCAAATGTATTATGCTGTGCAAAGGTTAATGCAATTTAGCAAAACAAAATTAAGCCGAACTAATTAAATCAATTTCCTGAATTTAAACTGAAAAATATTATAATTTTTTATATATTGATAGCACATGTCAAGCAACAAAAACGCATTGTTACAATTTTCTTTTTTTAACTTATTATCGGGTTATTAACAAATGATAAGAGCTAGAGCATTGTCGCACTTGTAAAAGTGAGGTTAGTTTGCAGCAAGCAACTTATACACAAGCAAATATTCCTTTCTTAAATAAAATGTACCATAAATTTTCTCCTTCAATTTCTCAGACTTCGTTATGGACGTTTCTACAGTGTCATTCAATTTTGCCATCACGTTACACTTGCAGAAGAAATCAGTCGTTAAGGTCTGCCATTTTTAAAGCCCACTCATAATCTCGATTGGAGTATTTGGCGGTACATGAAAAAGATTCTTACATCTGTTACTCTTAATTGCTTACAGTCGATAAAATAGTCGCAAATCATGCTGACATCAAGGGCGCGATTCCATAACTATTTTACACAGCACGCCTACCGACAGTTGTCGGTGTCATTGCGCTGCATTATCAGTAGACGTGTAAAGTACTGAAAGTTTATATAGTATTAAATTTTATATGGTACTGTAAAGATGATTAAGGAATCGCGCCCCAGATATTTCTTGGCAAGAAGGATCTACCGGTCTAGGCCCATACAATTTTCTGATTGTGCGCAGTCCTTTACAAATTACAATGGGCGAGTTCAAGCCGACAATGCGGCTGGACATGCTTGTCAAGTGAATGAGTATGATTGGTTCTTACCAAATGGATCCAACTGGATCCAACCAATGATGTTTAATTGCTCGGTGATAGCAGACCTAGCCGCTGCTAGCCGCTTTGCCGACTTGAACTCGCCCATTGACATTAAAATAGTGAGAGGAAGTCGATTATACATTTATACATTAATAAAATAAAGATTTCTGGATCTTTTTTTTCGATATTTTGAAAGATCGTGAGGGAGATACGTTATTTTTGGGTGAATTAGGTGCGGAAGTTCTGCGGAATCTGCGACGTGGATAAAAATGGAAGGTAAGTCATGTTCCACTCCATCCCTCTTCTCGCCAGACTATTTTCGGAAAGGCAATACGTAAATCTCTCAATGTACGTTATAGGCGAGACAAAGCACAATATCGATAAACTCGTCGATGATTTGAAGTGTGTCGTAAGACTCGAAGCCTCGCAAGAGGAATGCAATATTGTTCAGATTCTGGATTCTGTAGTAAATGTTAGCAAAACGTCGATCGGAGGTATAATTGGATTCAACTAAAGATTAAACGCTAACTATAACTAGTAGATATCACAGTATCATATGGTGTGAAATTGTAATTGAATACTAACGGATGGTTTCAGAAACTACCGAATTAGTCATTGATGATGTCTTCTTGACACTACTTAGACACAAATCTAAACAAATCATAGCAAAGACTGCTAAAGCTATTGCGGAGATAGCAAAGACTGATCGCGGGAGAGAGAAATGTACCAGTTTTGAATTAATACGGACCTTGATTGATTTGCTAAAGGAAGAAGATATAGACATATTGACACAGACTTCCAGAGCTCTAGGAAATATCTGCTATGAAAATGGTTGTTATAGTAGTTATATTTATATGAATTTTTATTACATATTTATGTATAGTTTTGAAATAATGGTTCATAAGATTTCAAAGCTTTGATATTTAAAGGAATTTTTATATTGAGTATTTAGAAATGATATTTAAAGAGATATTTAAAGAGATATTTATATATTAGGTGTTTATAAATGCATGTAAGTTTCATATTAAAAAAAAGCTAACAAACATTTATGTTACAGAGATTGGTAAAAATCTGGTAACAGAACAGGATGGTTTGAAAGTAATTCTAGCACTACTGAAGAAAGGAATTTCCCTAGGTAATGTTGAAGGTGCGAGCTTCCTGAGGAATGTGGCTGCTGGAGTTTTATTGAATTTTTTGGTGGATCAGGAAATGTTATACAGAAAAGTAAATTTTTTGAAAACATATTTGTATATTGTGACAATCAATGGTGATATTGTAAAAATAGAAAGCAACAGCAAGCAATAATTTTATTATAAGATTTACTTTACCAGGCACTAGAGGAAGATATGGTACCAATTATTTGCAGTATTTTAGAAGAAGATGGAATAAATGGTGATGAATCAGCAGTACAAGTATTACTCACTCTTGGCATATTGAACGATGTAAATATTATATTTCTCAATGAGAGATTGACAAGAATTTTGGTTGATACACTGGCTAGTGACACTTCCTCTGAGCTATCTGAGATGTGTTTAGAAATCTTACATGGCCAAGCAGAAGATGGTAAAACAGTAATTTTATAATAATTAAAATTAAATTGATTTAAATTGTTTAAATTAAATTAATTAGAAGTATGCTGATTAAATATTTCAGTATAATTAGTCTTAGTAAATTCACAAAATTGTATTTAAATTTAAAATTGAATTAATTTAATACTGGAGAGCAATAGCTTAATAACATAATTCCATTAGAAAATGCGAAGCTGTTATTGGCTAAGGCAGGAGTATGTGAATTGCTCCTGAAACTGTTAGAGAAACATGGTCCACAATGCACCGACGAAGAAACACGATCAATTCTTAAAGTCGCCTGTAACTTGATTGTTTTGATTTTAACTGGAGGTGAGTTTCTAGGGGAAAATTCAAATGCAAGTTTTAATGACTCTAACAAACATACTTTGTATTCAGATGAAAGTATGAATTTCCTTTACGATGATGGCAAGGGTCCTGTATACAAGAAATTAATAGAATGGCTAGAGAGTATTGACGAGGATTTGCAGATCACCGCTGTTTTAGCCATGGGCAATGTTGCGCGAACTGACATACATTGCAAGCGCATGGTGGAACAGGGTATTCATCGGAAGCTGTTAAAAATTCTCGAAAGAAATGGCAACAAATCTGGCGATATTAGATGTCAACACGCTTTACTCAGCGCATTACGCAACCTCGTTATACCTGCAGACAATAAATCGTTAATTCTTGCCGATGGTCTGATCGATGTGTTGTATCCAATGCTGGAAATCCCTACCTATCCCGTCGTTTTCAAATTACTGGGAACGCTTAGGATAGTCATAGATGGTCAAAGTAAGAGGTCGTAAGCTTTTTTAAAAATTAAAACAATATTTATTATATATTCAGAATGAATAATATGATAATTAAGACAAAATTCCTTGTTTTAGAAGAAGCAGCAATTTCTTTAGGACGAAGAGAGGACTTGATTAAGCGAGTAGTTGAGTGGTGCAGTACTGAGGACCACCCTGGTGTACAGGGTGAAGCCAACCGATTAATTGCCTGGCTAATAAATAATAGCAGGTTCGTTTTCTATGGTTTAATGATACGAAATTCCTAAACTTAGTTTTTCAATACTTTATATACAATTTTTAGGGACAAGCAGGTTTCTTTATCAATAATCAAGTACGGTGCGGTGCAGCACCTAGTAGATATGCTTTTAGCGCAACACACGCTGATGCAAAACGAAGCAATCATGGGTCTTAATTTGTTAACTGTAATTTGTCCGACGGAATCTGAAGAGCTATTGATCAAAGCAGATTTTGGACGCAATATGTGCGAATTGTTTGCACGCTCCCGTGAGCTTGACGTACACATCATGCTAAATGCGTTATCATTATTGAATCGCGCTCTGGAATTAGGTATCCCAAAGATCTATCCAGAAAAGAAAGAATTATTTGATCGACCGACAATTTTATGTGCCATCTGTTTTAGACCAATTGAAGGAGCATCTTACGAGCTATGGATTAGCCAATGCATGCAAACTACAATGCCACATAAATGAAAACACTGTCACGGAATTACAGACTCGAGTTACCAATTCGTGAGCGGCGCTGGGTACCATCTTGGAAACTAACTAAGGATAATGATGATGATGATGACAATGACAATGACCAATTCCAAAACACATTCTTAAGCGCCATTCCCTACATTGTTGTATCTTCCATCATTCCAAAGAACCAAGAAATGCAATCTTCAATGACCAAATTGTTCCCCAACTTAATTCACAGATTGCAACATATTTTATTTATCGAGAAATATATATTCTATTGATGTACATATTCTATTAATGCTATTGCAATTGATTTTCCTATTGTAAGATCTTTGTGAAAGCGAAAATTGAGCAATTAGTGGCTTGAGTGTTCACTTCAGGACACATGTTATATTTTTTCATGAATTATCTATAGTGTTATCATTATTTAAAAACACTGTTGATGTAATTGCTCAATGATTGTTCGCACAAAAAGTAATAAGAATCGATCAAACTCCGATTCTCTCATTCAATGATTAACTTATCATGATTAACTTATCACACAATACATATTTTATTAACAAAGATTGTTTTTTTAACGTATTAAAAAGAAAGATCAAAGGTAATAAATCAATTAGAATTTTTGTTTTTTAAATAAGTCTAGTGATTGAATTCATCGCCGAATAAATTAATAAGTATAAATAAAATCACTAGTTAGAAAATCAGTGATTTAATTTAAACGGCAAAATTGCTCGAAGCAAAATTCGTCTGATTTTATAATTGTGAAATAAATAAAATCATTTTCTATTAACTAATAATGATATTGTCTATTAGCAAAATAGATATAGATGGGTTTTTAACAAGTTAATCGCCAATTAGCTAATCAGAATTTGTAGTCGCAAAAGCAACGTCAACATCATCAACCCTGACCGGGCTTCGTAAATCGCAATGCCATCTGGTCAATCTGGTCACGTCACGTGCCACAGTTCATGGCGCAGCGGTCGCGCGAGCTGCCACGTAATGTTATGCGTGCCGTTCGTTCGTTCATGAATCGCTGCTATTAGGATTCATCTTGTGGTGCTGCGTGGAGGCGAACGGCAACGAGGGCGATGCACGAGCTTGCATCTATCCGTTTCTAATTTTTGGCTACTCACATTAGTACGAAGGTAGGCAGGTCCTTTGAACGTTTCAAGTCCGTCCTCTTCATTTTAACCTTTCAACACGCTGACAATGCGCTTTGGCTATCCAAACGTCAACTTGCTGATCTATATATCTCTTTTTGTAGATTATTAAGATGGAAATTTCCTTGCAACGAAATTTCATCCTTTCGTACCACTCTGTCTAATCTTTAACAATCTTTTACAACATCTTGTAGCTTCTTTAGCTAAGCTTGGAGCTGACATTGGGAATTGTTACTTAGACCTGTAATTTGGTAGTATTGTATGATTCTTGTTGTTACTGGGAATAAATGCAGTTAACTGAATTCTTTTTGCGACATTTGTTTGAATTACAAATTAAATTGAAAATTGAAAGTAGTTGACTTGCACTGTAATGTTGTTGTATATCTCACATCTCAGATACTAACATTGGTGGATTAACATTGATTAATTTATCATTTTTTATGTATAATATATATATATATAAATTCATGTTTTTAAAAGCTGTTATTTAACTGAAAAAAATTCTTCAATAATGTATTTCGTTTCAGTGATTGTTAAAGCAACAAAATGTCACAGTCAAGTGGTTACCAGTGTCCATTGTACACAGATTCCAACAATCCTTTGAAAAATGAGCCACCTCCTATAGTAAATGGTCAAAATCCTGCATCTCAGCAAAATGGAATGCAGTCTCCTCAGTTCAATCTAACTGGCAAGTTTTTGGAATATACAATAAAGAAATTTTTTAAGAAAATATGTTATTATAATTTTTCTTTTACACAATACTTTTTTATTGACAATGGTTCTTAAAAGACAGTAGCATTGCTCTTGAAAATGAACAATGTGAAAATATATGATCAATCCTCTTATCTTTTAATTTTATTTCTAAAAATAAAATGGATAATAGTTAATAAGAAAAGCATTGTGTAAACTTTATACTTTAACACATAAAGTGATTCATCTTAACATCTATTAGTTTTGTCTAAAAAGTTTGCTTGAAACAATTCAAATGTTTTTATAGGTACACCATCCTCACAGTCATCACGTGATCCATCCAGGGAGACTTCTAGAGATCCATCACCAACTCAATATCTTCACAACCAATATCGGCTTCAGTTGCCACGACCACCAATGCCACCAATAAACGGACCTCAGAATGCTAATGTGTTGCCTCCACCACCTAGAACATCACAACCTTATAGTCCTGCAAATCTCTATAATGCTCATAGCCAGTATGTTGCTAGCACTCAAGAGAATATTGCAGTCGGTACATCTTCAATCGCCTTTATGTCTCAACCTAGCCAAGAAATTCAACATCGACCCATCATGATTCCTCCAAATCAGATGCCTCCAGTAGCAAAAAATTTGACTCCAGTGTCTGTATCATCGACGTTTGCGGATACTATTAAATCAGAGCCAGCTAAAATGAACCAAAGTTATCAATGGGCGACTAATCCCCCATCTACTAACATTCCGCAGGGTACTGTAGGCGTTCCTGGTGTATCCAGTAGCATTGATAAGACTAGTCATGTCTCAACGGATCAAATCACTACGGAAAGTCAAACATCCTTTGCTAGAGTAAATAAGATTTCGGCATACAATCAAGGACATTCTGTCCCTTCACCCGCATCCAACGTTAATCTACCTCCTTCGAACGTCACTCATTTAAATCAAAACAGTTATGTACAGCAAGAACCAGTGAGTTCTGGTATACAACCAAGAACTCAAAACGTTCAAGCACAATCGATGATTAGTCCTGAAAGCTTAAGTAATCCACAACTCAGATATGGAAGTCAACAGAATATATCCAATGCATCGTCAATGCCAAATTTAAGCACGCAAAATTTATTCTATAGTGCACAAGGTCATAATGTAGGTCCACGAAATCTTCATGATTATAGTTCTCAGCCTGTGAAATCTCAAAATTTACTTACTGGTTATATGGATCCCACGGGATTGGGAAGTAATTCTCAAAGTCAGAATATACATCAAAATTTAGCTGGTCAGAGAAAATATCCGCAACAAGACACTGCCAATACTATGATGCTACCGCCTTCAGGAGGTAATCAATTACAAGGTGCAAGATTACCTCCATCAGGAATACCTCCTCTTCCGGGACTTCAGACGGTAATAGAATCTAAGAATAAAATTTATGCAATAGAATCAAATTTAATTAATCTTTTATATTTTCTTCAAAAAATGATGTATTTTTTGCAACATTAATATACAGAGTTTAATTTTTGTTATTTTTAGTACGACTCTCGGTCGCAATATCCTAGCCCAATGACAAATGTACCATTAGACTCGTCTAATAGAAGGTACCCTAATATGTACCCAGACCAATTAAATCAATTAAATAATCAGATGAGCAATTTGAACGTCACACAAGTTGGCTACAACAAAATATGGGTAATTATTTTTATTGAAATATGTATTTTTATTGAAGTATATACAATTATATACGTAATACATTCTTTAATATATTAATATCATTTTTAGGGGATGGAATCGATAGACCTCTTGCAATGCCGAAATATACTGCCACCTGAAAAAGTCGAATCACCAAAGATCAAGTTAAATCAGGAATTCTTGGATTCCGTAAATTGTAGTCCTGAGTAAGTTTTTTTTTTTTATTTAAGATGTTAAATTACATTTCTATTACACGGAAATTAAAATATCCAAAATAAAAACGCGAATCAAAGATGAAAAATTTAGAACTTTTTGTTATTAAAATTTTTTCAATATATAAATATAACTCTTATTAAAAGTACGTATGTGAAATGCTTACAGCATATTCAGGTGTACATTAACAAAAGTCCCAGAATCGAATTCGCTTCTACAGAAATCAAGATTACCATTCGGCGTACTAATACATCCTTTTAAAGATCTAAACGTAAGTAATGTACATGTAAAATAATACTTATAATATAAAATATAGAACATACAGAAGAATATGCTATTTTACTTTTTAGAAAATCAGAAATAAACTTTAGTAAAATAAATTTTTATTATTTGTCGCAGCAGCATTTAGCAGTGATTCAATGCAATACGATCGTGCGTTGTCGAGCTTGTCGAACATATATCAACCCATTTGTGTATTTCGTCGATTCAAAAAGATGGAAATGCAATCTCTGTTTCAGATTAAATGAACGTAATGAATATACTGAAATTTTTCATATCTATTAATATTACATAACAAGAATTAAATATATATTTACGTTTTATATAGTTCCCGAAGAATTTCAATTCGATCCTGTGACGAAATCGTATGGCGATCCATCACGACGGCCGGAAGTTAAAACCGGCACGATAGAGTTTATTGCGCCAAGCGAGTACATGGTTAATATTTATTTACTGTAAAATAATCACTTATTCATAATTACAAATTATTTATTTATATAAAAATTATATACTTGTTTATGGTACCTCGAGAGATTTAGTTTATTGAACATACTGTGAATATATATTATAGGTCCGTCCACCTCAGCCCGCTATCTATCTCTTTGTCATGGACGTTTCTCGTCTTGCGGTAGAAAGCGGGTATTTGCAGATAGTTTGCAATACGATCACCGATGAATTGTTGCGTCTCCCCGGCGACAGCCGCACTCAAATCGGTTTTCTTGCTGTTGATTCTACTCTGCATTTCTTCAGCATGCCCGATAACGTCTCGCAACCACATGAAATGGTCATGCTAGATATCGACGATGTGTTTTTACCGTGCCCAGAAAATCTAATTGTAAATTTGAAAGAACGTGAGGAGCTTGTTCGTGATCTTCTCGCCCAGCTTCCTATCAAATTCTGTGGCACTCATGATACTAACAGCGCTCTTGGTGCTGGTCTTCAAGCTGCCTACAAACTCCTCGCTGGTGTCGGAGGACGTATTACCGTTTTTCAAACATGTTTGCCTAATATTGGTCCAGGGGCCTTGCAACCGAGAGAAGATCCCAGTACTAGAGTGAACAAAGACGTGCCACATCTTAATCCCGCAACAGATTTCTACAAAAGATACGCTCTGGATTGCAGTGGACATCACATTGCAATTGATCTATTCTTATTGAATAGTCAATACAGCGATCTGGCAACTTTATGTAAGTGAATCTATCTCAATTGAATATGATTAATAATTTTGTATTGTGAATTTGCAAATAATTAATTTGATAATTGTAATTTTTTTCGTAATATACCTAATTATATATTTTTTTAACATTGATAAATATTTTTTGTAACATTCGATTTGTTTTATCAATTATCCACAGCATGCATGTCAAAATTTACTGGCGGTTGCATTTACCATCTGCCACTGTTCCGAGCATCGAAATTACAGAATAGTGAAACTTTAGAAAGATTACTTCGTCGTTATTTGACGAGAAAGATTGGCTTTGAAGCGGTGATGCGGCTTCGTTGTACTCGTGGTCTCAGTATTCATGCCTTCCATGGCAGCTTCTTCGTTCGATCGACTGATCTTCTCTGCTTGCCAAATATTAATCCGGACGCCGGTTTCGGCATGCAAATCTCCATCGATGAAAATCTTTCCGATGTGCAGAGTGTATGCTTCCAAGCGTCTCTTCTGTATACTTCAAGCAAAGGTAATTATTCTTGTCCTTTCATGTAATGTTTCAGTGTTTTTCATGTAATGTTTCATATTTTTTATATTTTTATCTAAAGGTGAGCGAAGAATTAGAGTACACACTCTATGCCTGCCTGTGGTGGCAAGTCTATCGGATATATTGCATTCTGCAGATCAACAATGCATAGTCGGTTTATTATCAAAAATGGGTAAGTTAAACTCTAAGTAATTAAAGTTGCTGTGGACTATAAATCCTTATGCAGCGTAATGTAAAAGTTTAATAATTATTTGTTAATTCTCTCCCATTAAGTAATATTAAGAGACATTTCTTTAAATATCTCTATAGCTGTTGATCGATCGCTTCAGTCATCCTTATCAGATGCAAGAGAAGCATTAATAAACGTCGCTATTGACATCTTATCCGCATACAAACTGGCACAATCTTCCAGCGGCGGAGGACTTATTGCTCCAGGAAGTTTAAAGCTGTTACCATTATACATTATCGCATTGTTGAAAAGCGTAAATTATCAATAAATTTACACACATTTTCTACTTAAATATATTGTAGATATCGCCGATTAAAATATTTTTATTTCGAATTTGCAGATAGCATTTAGATCCGGCACGAGCACGCGTTTGGATGATCGCGTATTCGCTATGTTTCAATTAAAGACATTACCGTTAGCACAACTGATACAGGTGGTTTATCCCGATTTATATCCTGTTCTCATGCTTGATGATCGCAATGCAAGGGACATTGACGGCAAAGTGTGTCCACAGCCGCCTCGACTTAATTTATCTGCTGAGAAACTCGACAGCCGGGGCATCTTTCTTATGGATGCTGGCGATAGAATCTTTATTTACATTGGCAAGAATATAAATCCGATTTTCTGTACAAATATATTCGGCTCTTTGGAATTTACATCTATTCCAGAGGAAATGGTAAATGTGTTTTACTACTTTTTCTCGGTTATATATCCGTAACTAAAAATCGAAAATTCTTATCGAATTTTTAACAACAGCTATTATGATAAAAATTTAATTTCATAATCAGTCTTAATTTTGTCTTGCAGTACGAATTACCGGAATTGGATACAGTAGAAAACGAACGGTTGCGAAACTTTGTATTTAGTTTACAAGAGGAAAAACCATACTATGTACCTGTACAAATTATCAGGTAAGACAATTGTTTTGGAATAATAAATGTGTAAGTGATTAGATATGTATTGACAGAAATTATAAATTTCTTTTAACGAATGAATTTATTTGATATTTTCAATATACATATTTTAATGTAATAAATTGTTTTTCAGGGACGATAGCCACTTTAGAACGTTATTCATTGAACGATTGATAGAAGATCGATTCGAATCTGCTCTTAGTTACTACGAGTTCTTACAACATCTCAAGACGCAGGTGAAGGAGTGACCAACTTAAAGAATTTGTGCATGAGACCAACTCCTGCCGGAAGTGTTAATCATCGGGTGATGGAATTATCATAAAACAATCGCGCAATTAAAAAATTGTGCGATCCGTTATAATTCATTAATCGATCATGGGTCATTCGGGATATTTTGGGACATGTCGCGTGATTCAAGATCTATTTATGCAGCAGTGACAGCCTTAATGAAAGACACTGACACATTTAAAATATGATAGATTGTATAATTATTGTTATTATTATATTATATTATTGGTTATATTTACCATCGATAGCTTCATCATATAGACTTGCGTTTTTGTTGCGCGTATTCACTTGGGTTAAGCAATTTCTTCAACTCGTCCAGTAAATAATATGTAATTTTTTACTATTTTGTGTTATATCTACAATAGTTTTAATCTATGAGATTTATTTGTTCAGTAGAAAAATCTTTTTCACAATAGCAGTAATTCATTGAATAGCATGACGATCACAGTCGATTTCCTCTATTCTAGAATCGTGGGATCGAACTTTTTTTTTTATTTTAAGATACTAATGGGAGTATCAATGTCCGCTGTATTTTACTCTCTTTCTTATTTACTCGCGATTATGTGGTAAATGCAAATAGCGAGAGAGAGAGAGAGAGAGAGAGAGAGAGAGAGAGAGAGAGAGAGAGAGAGAGAGAGAGAGAGCGCAGTGAAAAAAAGAATCTTATGTTAGAGGAAAACAGTTGACTTGAAGTAGAAGAAATCGACTATTTTTTGATGAAGTTTGTATAGAATATTTTTTTTTAATTATGTTTCCGCATTCTTTCAATTTCTATATCGAAATATCGCAATACGCAAGTGTTCTTACCTTAAAAAAAAATACCATCTTCAGAAAATCTTGAAAAATATTAGTTACGAATAATTATATGCAATAGAAATGGAATTAAATAAGTGCAATTTTGCATTATAAGTAATATAATAAATGAAGATGCTTGCAGGCTGAATGTCGCCAAACGAAGATGTTTCATGGTGATAAGTAATGCGCTCTTGTAATTTAATCACCTGCAGGTAATAAGACAAACGAAGAGGGAATAGTAACAAAATTCGTGAAATATTATCAATCATTATGTCATTCCTTAGACGGTGACATTGTTAATTCGCATTGTAAAATTAAACTTTGCGATAAGTAAAAGCGTAATAAATAATTTCGAACAGTCGACGAACATTGCAATTAAAATATTGTTTGAATTGCAATTGAATTAAGTAATTGTAAAAAAAATATAGGAAAGGACAGAATGATTTCGCGCTAATGTAAAATACGAATCGATCGTTCGAGGCGTATAAACTCGCCTATAAAGGACTCTATAACAAAATAAAATAAATAATGGTAAATAATAGCACTAGCAAGTGTTAAGAAATAAACAAATGAATATTGTAAAATAATCGTACTACTCGTACTTTGTCATGCTGCCAAACGAATTTCTCCGGCGTAGTTCTTTTCTCACCATTTTATGATCCGCCGAAGTTAAAAGTAGCGTGTGACGATTTAGTTTATTATTTAATAATTATATATATACATATATATATATAATTATATACGGGAAGTAAATTGTACATTCATTGTTATATCCTTTAACTTCTCCTACCCGTGTATATCGTTCGATTTTTTATAAATGATTAACTGTACTACAAAAATGCCTCGAACTCTTTAGTCCGCCATCCTTTTCGGATTATCAAAGTTTCCCTGATATATAATC